AAGCGACCTTACACAGCTTATGCCGTGGGAGCTACCATCCAACATGTAAATAACCATCAATAGGTCATCTTATTCTATAAATTCGTGATCTTCGATATACATGGTTTGTACGCACCCTATGAAATTCATTCCCGGAATCGAACCGGTAAAACCCCGTAAATTAATTTATTACGATCTGCCTTAGCTAGGAGTTCTCTAAGTTAGAATAATATATAGAAAGAAAATAAGAAATTATAACTTAAGGAATCACTATCGATAGATAAGCAAGGATCTAAAAAGGTAGAAAAACTCAGAAGAATACAAGAAAAAGGGTATAAAAATGATATAGTTAGAACTAATTCGACATTATATGTCTCATTTTTAGTGATTAATAGGATAGAAAATGACAGGATTGCAAATACGCATTTTGTATCTCAATTTAGCAATCAAGAAATGTTAATCAAAAGGAAAAATATATAATTGCAAATTTAGCATTTTGTATCTCAATCTGGCAATCAAATGGGTCAAATATGATAGGATTGCAAATATAGGACATATCTCAAATTAAAAGAGAAAGAAATAAATATGAATTACAAGTTCAGCACTTTGTTTCTCAATCTAGTAATCAAGAAATAACAATCAAAAAAAAAAATATATAGATTGCAAGTTTAGCACTTTGTGTCTTAACCTGATAATTAAATGGAATATAAAGGTATAATTGCAAGTAAATTCAACATTTAAGCTAACATAAAAGTGATCTAGAACTGGCGAATTAATAAAAATATTCTAGCTTTTGCCAGTACCTTACCAGTTCTATTTTACTGTTATGACACTATCATAACACTGAGTTGGATCCTCAAATCACATGCTCTAAAAATTAGCCAAAATTATATTATAGTATCAGCTAAAATTAATCACAGATCTACTGCATAATCTGTCACCTTTTTTTTACATTATTTTAGTATTTTGAAAGGTAAGCAAATAGGTATGTATCCTCAACAAAAAGCCTAATAATCAAACTGACATAAAGGGTCAACATCCTTAGTATAGAAGCTAACCTTCAATCAGATACAGATAGGTATAAAGGATAAGCATCTCAATATAAAATATAACATCTAAATAGATACAAAAAGTCAGTATCCTTGATATAATACCAGTAAGTAACAGTATAACACAAGTAAGTAGCAGTCTTATAAGATTACTATCTACTCAATCTAGTAGTTGCAAATTCACCTTTAATATAGATTAATCTTATAATTATTTAAAATAGATCATATAATAGACATATTATTGATATTAATTAATATATTACAATTAATTTAATTTATTTGAAATATTGATTTATATTGACAATAATAGATTAGATAATTATATGTGAATATCTGGTTAATCTGTTTTAATCAAATATATAAATATTTGCTAGAAAAATAAATAGATAAAAAATCCTATCTAATCTTAATGACAGATATAATTTATTAATTATTAATAATATGTTAAAAACTTTATCAGGATCATCTTGGAATACTTTTTTTAATTTTGCTAATAGATTTTAGCAAGTTAAATTGAATCCTAAAAACATAAAGAAAATTTATAATCAAATTTAATATTTACAAGTTCAGTGTAATAATATTTGAACTATAGAATACATTTGCTATATTTTAATGCTTAATAGATATTTTAAAAGATATATTATAATAATATAAAAAATATTTATCCTATTTTAATTTATTACTTACATTAATTTAATATTAAAATTATTACACATTTAGTACAAAATTCTTATATAATAAAATTAATATTTAAAAAAAATAATAAATTATTATTTAATTAAAATTGATTTTATATTTTAACATTAAATTAATATTAAAATTTTTAAAATTTTTAAAATCTTATATTAAATTAATATTAAAATATTATTGTATTTACATTAAATTTCATTAAGAAAATTTTTTCTATGAATTTGTTGTTATATATGTTGCATTTTAATTCTTGGTAATGTTAAAAAATTTTCAGAGTCCCATTTTTCTAGCAAACCTTTCATATGATCTTTTACAAGTTTTATGAATTCTTAAACTTATATAGTTTTAATGTAATACTCTAAAATATTATGAAAATCATAAATCTACAGAATATTATACTGCATTTAAATTCCTAATGTACTAAATTTATGAAATTTTTATTTAACATAATGAAGTGAGATTCATAAATCTCGTATGTATTCTGATTTTACAACTGAATTATGCTGATTTATATTCAAATAAGAAAATCACATTTCATAATTCCTTATGATTCTAATAACATTAAAGTAGTTTTTTTAACCGTGGGCGTTTTTGCAAATCACGTGAATTTATAATTTTGGTAATTGATCGATATAAAAATTTCATTTAGTATAAATATCAGTACGCTAAAAAAAAAAAAAATTTAAAAGGATAAAAAAATGACACAAAGTCGAAAAATAAAAGTTGATATTCAGGAAAACCAAACACAACAAATAACACAAGATTTATTTCATCAACAAAAGAACTCCGCTTCTCAACAAACTCCACAGCCATTAAGACGAAATCATATATGCCACTCATATCCATCTACAATTCGTATTATGTACGGTCACCTTGTTTCACTTATCATTTTTTTAGTCCGTCAATTATTTCGTTCGAATAATCTTCCTTTCCTCTTAACATTTATTTGGCATTCGTTCTTATTAAAGAGTCTTTTGTTTTCCTCAAGAAACTATTTAAAAAGGTATACTATAGGAAATGATAAAAGTGATATATCACACGCAATTTCTGTTGACCTTGTTAAAAGATTAGGTGGAACCAATTCATCATCAGCTTTATTGGCTTTATTGGCTTTGATAAGATTTAGCAGAGATATGACAGCACAAAAAGTAACTTTATTGGTTTTGGCTATGGCGAATGGCACACAAACTTGGTTGGATTTCAAGTGTTGGAAAAGCGGAAGATGGAATTGGGCATTTTTAACAAAATCTGTTGGTGGCAATGGTATAATTGCTCTTATTAACATTATTGCTTATGGTGTTACTGTTGCAAAAACCAGATCCATCTTATAAGCATTCCTAAATTATAATCACCACTTATTTTACTAATTCCAAACTTTATTGCCTTAATCAAAAATGAGAAACGTCGTCTTTATAAACTATATTTTTATTTCAAAATATAAATAAAAGTAAAAATGGCAGTACATATTTGATCCTTAATTAATTAGAAACTAGTCTAGTTATTAATAAAAAATATCCTTGAAAAAAATAAAGCAGAAATTCTAAATCCTTGCTTGATGATTAATTGACTTTAACTTCCCCAAGAAGCTGGATGATCATCATCATCTTTTGCCCTAATTATTAAATACAAAAAAAAAATCGTTCATTTTCATTTTTCATTTTCCATTTTCATATTTTAATATTTTCATTTCATTCCAGTCATTTACACTTACCACTTAATTCTATACATAGCAAATATTTCAACCAAAGAAATTCCTTTTTTTACTTGCTCTTTCAATCCCGCATCAATCTTCTTGTTAACTTTACACATTTCAATAACCGTATCCAATAGTCTTCGAGGAATACAAATGACACCGTCTAAATCTCCAAATATAATATCTCCAGGTCTAATAACTATAGGTGGATCATAGTTGCCATTAAGGGTTACAGGATGGTTTAATGCCGTTGGACGAATAAAATCCTTGGCTGATAAACTTGACGTTCCTTTAGCAAATGCCTAAGTGATCGAGTAAAGTTTAAGAAAATCAAGCATATATATATATTATATTAAATTAAGATTAATGAATCCTCAACTTACTGGTATGCCTTCTTCACGAATTTCGGCTAAATCTCGGATACGACCATCAACAACGATTCCATTTGCTCCCTTGGCTTTGACGCGTGCAGTCATTAATCCTCCCCAAGCTGCATTCACCGTGTCTAAAATTTAAGAATATATGGTTTATTGCGGTGATTACAGACGAATGTTGAATTTTCATGCCGCAAAAAAACTTACTGGGTGGCACGGAAACAAATACTACACTGCCTGGTGGCGCTGCATCAGCCTTGCGAGGATTTATTATTATTATTATTTTTTTTTATTTTTAAGATAAAAGTAAAACGATGAGATTAATAGAAATACATTAAGATATTATTATAGAAGAAACCCCTGCATACTTACAAAGTGTTGCTTTGGTCTTGGTGAAGTTGTGTCAGTGCGAAGTACGGTCTATATATTTTATTTGTAAAGAAATTAATGATTTGTATAAAAATTAAGTTGTTTTGACTAATTTATTATTTTACCTTAATTGTATATGCGGGACCAATAAGCTTAGTATTACCTGCTTGTCTTTCTGGTCCATACATTACAATATCGGGCAAGAATCCTCCATATGGAACATTTAATTTCATCAATGCATCAGCAATCTGTAAAAAAAATCAAATTTGTTATGTTTGTAAGAATGAAAATGAGTAAATGAATTATTTACACACATCATCACTTGCGAATTCTTTTAATGCACAAAATTTTTCGTCTAAATTTAATCCTTTCATCTTTGACTTAAAAATGATTTTAATAAATTTAATTGAACTTTAAGTCGCAAAGTTGCAAGGTATAAATAAAAAAAAAGGAGAATCTATTTATTCCGTTGAGTATTATATATAGAAATTCCATGTATGTTTAGCCAGCCAACATAAATATTTGAGGAAAGAATGTGATGATGTGGCAGCGCTTTCATAAAAGGTTATTTATACAAGCAAGATAAAAGAAGAAATACATAAACTTGTTTATTCAGCCTCACTTTGGAATATAAGTAATAAATGTCATGTTTGCTTCCTTGTTGACAGCCATATTATATAGTAAATTGTAGATAAAATTGAGGCTAAACAAGGTTCAGTTTGTGGCTTATTATTTGAAAAAAATTACATATATAAAATAGTCCTACCTATATATAAAACGCGTCATTTAATATTTGTCGATAAATATTTTGAATTTTGAAATAGTTGAAAAAAAAATACGTGAATTGGGACAAACAAGAAAACCGCAGGAAAGAATATTTGCCAAAATCTTCTGTAAATCGATCTATAAAATAATTAAAATATTCATAGTTAGTCAAAAAAAAAAAATCAATTCTTTTAAAATGTTCTTAATACTAGAATAAAACCTTGCTCAAGTATGTGTAAATTTGTTGTATTGGACAACTATTCTTTTTCGAATACAGCATGAGAAATTCTTTCTTCAACTGCATATTATGATGTCATGCAAAAATTATTGCTAAAATAAATTACAAAACTTGCGGTATTCTATTTTTAAAGGCTCTGTGTTCTCTCAAGCAGACTTGTTTGATGATAACTTTTACAATTTATTTATAAATGTACAGTACCTCATAAAAATATAGATGGTAGAAAAACTTTATTAATAATTTTAAGATGCATAGTAAAACAAGTGAGATAAATGATGCTACCAAAGAGATATTGATTATACAGATCTTAGGCCACCTTACAATTATGCTTTAAAAATGCTTTGGCCAAAGATTATTATTATAGCAAGGTTAGAATGTTATGTTTGGTTTAATGATCTATTGATTTTATGAGAAAACGAAATTTTTATTTTTTTTTCTTACGAGAAACCCAGTATTTTATAATTAAGTTCGATTACACAGTTACAATGAAACTGCTGTTAATAGAAAAATAAGCAAAATGAAGATCTAAAAGAGCTTTAAAGGTCATTGAATCAGAGTAAAAAGAGTTTGAGAACAATTTTGTAATGTAAGAGAAAAAATCTGTATAAATAGTTAATAATTTCAGTGATAATATTACATCTAATACAATATCAATTTTTATATAAATCAGATTTAAGTAATTCGAGATGGGTAAATCACCCATAAAAATTTTTAATTATAAAGGAACATAGTTTATTTTGGTGAAATGATGTTGAAAATGTGGGTTGATTCAAAGTAAAAACAGACCAAAAAGCATTTCAATGAATTTCTGATCAATAAATAAATTGTTTGATGTCTTTATTTCTTTATAAATCTAATATAGCAGAAAAATTAGAAGCATCAAAAATTTTTTTAGGAAATGACATACTAAGGATTCAATTGTAATATTTATACATAAAGTCGAAATGGATCATTTCGGATATCCAAAATGGTCGAAATGGTCGAAATTATTTTTTTTTTTGATACTTTTACTAGGTACGCACAAGTGGTATTATATTTGGATGCATACCCTTCAACAGAAATAGATACGTCTTACAACACGTCAAATGCCACT